GAAAAACTTGAAAACTTCCAGCATTCATTTTTAAGAGAGAGAGACACGCTTCTCTAATTGAATTTAGAAGATCTAAATTGAGATAGCCCAGTGAGATTTTGTGATTTCTTTTTAATATCCTTTTTAAAGCACACTGGTTAAAATATGGAGTTATTACTTTTTAATTAAAGTGCAATTCAAGTTTAGAAAAAAAAAAATAAGAAAGTTCTATCAATCATTTATGTAGGCTATGTGTAAAATATTTTCCTATTGTATGGAGTGAGTCCTTGACTTAGGACATACTTATTTAAATCTACATGAGTCTGGGTATACTTGTACATTTCAGAGGTCTGCATGCTTGGATAACTAAGCTTTTAATTTATCCACTTCCCGTCCAGCCACTGTATATCAACGGCCGGGCTGTGGCAGTGCAGGGGCGGGTTGCCATTCATAAATGGCACCCGCCATTTTGGATTGTGAGGGCTCCCTGGGAGAGCGCGGTACCGTGATTCGGTGCCCGCTGTGTCCTCCAGACACAGATGGCTGTACGGGACCTCTGTGTGAGGTCCCAATCATGTGATCACTTCTGACATCATTGCTTACTACTAGTGAAATCTGTGAATGATCACAGAGATCACATGATACAAGGCTATTCACAACAGCCTTGTACCATGTGACAAGCTGTGACCAATCACAGCTCACACAGTATTTCTCAATGGATGCAAGAATGCAGCCAGAGAGAAAGAGAAATGGTTGCTTTTACAGCCTTTATGGGTATAAAAGCAATCAGTGTAAAAAAGAAAATCTTCATCACCTCCCCACAAGTAGTACAGTGTCACTATGGTGCCACTGTACTGCTAGGGTGACAGTATGTTAAAAACCCCCCCAAAAAAACCATAAATAATAATACAAATAAATAAAATAAAAATAATATAATTCTTGGTTATAAACTAATTTGGGTTATGTTTTTTTACTAAAAAGATAACTGAATAAAATGTGGCCAAGATTTATGAAGAAAGATTATTTATTTGCAAAATTATATAAGAAAAACACTTTTTTTTTTCAAAATGTTTGGACTTTTTCTTTATATAGCAAAAACAATAAAAATCCCAGTGGTGAATAAATACCACCAAAATAAAGTTTTATCTGTCTCAAAAAAATGCTAAAACATTCATATGGGTTGCATGACTGCGCAATTGTCATTTAAAGTGTGATAGCACTGAAAGCTGAAAATTGGCCTGGACAGGAAGGGGGTAAAAGTGTCCGGACTTGAAGTGGTTAAAGTGGTTGTAAACCTCAGAAATGAAATATGATCAAAGCATGTCCCTCTATAGCGAGGGTCAGCAACCAGTAGACCGTGATCTACCAGTAGATCTTGGCCAAGTGACTGGTAGATCACAGTCAGGGTTTGCTGACCCTCCATCCCAGAGCATCAGAGTGCAATGCAGAGGGACTACTTGTAAAGTTGGAGCTGTAGTAGGGAGCAAGAGCCGCATAAGCCGATGTCTCCTCTGTAGCGCCCGCTCCTACTCCCTGTCATGGTTGGTGGGTGTAGCACCTGCCAAGCATGACCCATTCAAGTCAATGAGGCCGCTTTGCAAGTGCCCTGCAACCTTGTGCAGTACAGCAAACAAGGGGTTAAACAGGAAGTGGTGTGTTGCTTTCTCACCAACTGTTTTTTTACCCATTGGACCCCGCAGAAGCATGCAGTTGCAAGGTGCTTGCAGAGTGGCCCCATTTACTTGAATAGGTTGTGATTGGCAGGTGGTAGTACCCACCAATAGCAACAGGGGGTTTATTCCTTCTGTGACATGTGAGTACCTTTGGCTGCTGCCTCAGCAACTAAAGAGGGTAGGGATTGGGGGGGGGGGGGGGGGGGGGGTGATAAAACTGTGACTCAACCCCAGTGTTTTTTACCACCACCCAACTTTACATGTGAACAAGCCCTCAAGGGATGGTTCACAAGAGCAGCAAACACAAAGCGACCCCAAGTGTGTTTGACAGGTGGTGAGGATATGTTGCCTCCTCACCACCCATATTTAAACCCATGATTGCCGCACAATACACAGGATTGTGACATGGTAGTATAGCAATTAGAGGTTAAATCAGATGTGAGGAGGTAAAACTGTGGCGGTGTCAGGGATTCTGATGCCGTGCAGCAGTGCGACGGATCCCCTCGAGTCGCGACGGTGCATGTGCGCAGGTGCGGGAGCGTGCGGCCGCCCATGCGCAGTACCGCAGAAAAATCATGCATGCGCAGTAAGTGCACACGCCACGTCAGGCGGGCTATTTAAACCTGCTTAGTAGTAAAATCAATGCCTTCTGGTCTACTACGTTCCTGCATATATTCCTGATCCTGACACCTGTATTCTGCATTACCCGACTAAGAAAGAACTCCGCCTGCACTGACCCCGGCTATACCTGACCATTCTCTTGTCTGCTCCTTTTGTACTTATCTGCCCGCTTGGTACTGACCCGGCTTGCCTGACCCTTCTATATTATCCTGCCTGCACCTGCACCTGACCTGCATCTTGTTGGCTACCATACTCACCTACCGCTGCACCCACGGCTCTGCATCTGGCCCGCATCCGGATCACCGCCATACCTGTCAGCCACTGCATCCATGCACCGGTGCTCGGTCCCAAGACCCGCATCCTGACTGCCGCCTCACCTGCTCGCTGCTGCACCTATGGTCCTGCACCCGCACCTGGCTTGTGTCCAGATCTCCTGGGTCCCCAGCTACCTGCCGACCGCTTCAAGATCTACATGGCTCTGCGCCCCTGTTCCCACTTCCAGGGGCTCCAAGCGGGAGTTGTAAGAGGACTCCCTCTCTCCACTTCAGGCTCCCCAACCAGGTATGTGACAGATGGTGATCTTTGACCATGTTGTTCAGGTAGATCTCTACCTTTTTAAGATTGCCAACCCCTGCTCTATAGTGTGTACTTTTTAGAACCAATATAGTGCAGCTCTAAAAAAAAATAAATAAGAGTAAGGTGTTGTGTGTTTACTGTGTCTTTCTCCCATTATTGATTGAGTTAATTGAGTCAACTATTGTTTCTGTCTGTTGGCTAGTCCTCCTGGAGGTTCCTACATGATGGGACTAATCTAGTGTCAACTTGACCTCGTTACCTAATCAGTGTGGGGTGTTTATCCCAATGTGTAATGTTTGTTTTATTGTTCATGTGATGACTGCCCCTATTTCTGAAGTGTATAAAAACGTGTATTTCTGTTCAATAAAGGGTTCCATTTGCACCTAAGCTAGTGTTTTCTAGTCCTTAGGTGTAATGCCCAGCTATAATCCCTAAATAAATAAAAGTAAGTTTGGCCTCTGAACAAATCATTTGCAGGTGATATAGAGATCAATATACATTAGGTATACCAACAAATGATATAAATAGATCACATATCACAGTGCATATATATCACAAACAATGTGCGCACAATGTAAGCATAGAAATTACATAAATGAAATAATAAATCAATAAATAATCCAATTTTCCTAAACAAAAAAAAGAAGAAATAATACCAAATAATTAAAACAATAGTGTAATATTTCTATAAGAGAACAACTATGGAAAATTCCCAGTGAGTAGAAGGAATCAATGAAGAGGCGAATGATCATCCAAAGGGCAGCAGGTACAGATTATAGAAAACCTACGATCTCAGGCAGTAAACTTCACACACCACCCACCTGAGCAGGGTAAAGGCTTACCAGACCGGAATGACCCCTGATAAAGAGTGGTCAGACTGCACTTGTTTAATTAACTCCGATATAACACAACGCCGGTGATTATCCGGACCTGTAGGTGAAACTGTATCTTCACAGGCTTTCACTCCCGTAATGAACCATGATCGTATACAGTCAGGAACATGGGCAGACTGACAACTCATGGGGCCCCCCGGGCAATAGGGGATCATGGGGCCCCTGTGTCCTTGCCAAAACTCAAAAAAGCCTATGAAAAAGGTACCAGGGGCATCTCATGGGGCCCCCTACTGACCCCAGGCCCTCGGGCAGTGCCCGAGTCTCCAAATGGTCAGTCCGCCCCTGGTCAGGAACGATATACAGACACCATGCCAGAGGATAAGTAAGAAAAAGGGGTTTTCATAGTGAAGATCAGTTAAAACAAGGGTATGCATTCGAAGTATTGCACTTACAAATGGAGAACAACACAAAAGCACTTCAATGCAAGTTACAAACTTCCAAATGATAGCCATGGTGTATTATGCATAGCGTGTATTCCGGCTCCTGCTGACGTGTTTCGTCATAAGCGGCATCATCAGGCCTTTTCTGTTGCCTTGTTCTTCTGCTATAAACATGAGTCACTACTGGAGAGTTTTTTCTGACACCAAGAGAAAAGTAGTGACAGGAGAGGGAGCTCCAGAAAATGAACAGCCTCGGCTCTGTTCCTATGTGCTTTGTGGAGTGGGGGGGGGGGGTGTCTCTTCCCTCCAATCAGATCACAGAGCTACCCTCACTGATGTAGCTTCAGCTCCCCGCCCCCTGATTTTCAGGGCTGAGATATCATGTGAAAATTCTGCACTTGGATGAAGGGAACAAATGGCTGTAGATAAGCAGGTACAATATATGTAGGAGGATTGGTTTAATCTCGGTGTATCACCTGAGGACAGTCACTTCACTGAGTATATGGAAGGGTTTACAACCACTTTAACCACTTGCCTACTGAGCACTTTTACCCCCTTCCTGCCCAGGCCAACTTTCAGCTTTCAGTGCTATCGCACTTTGAATGACAATTGCGCGGTCATGCAACATTGTACCCAAAGTTTTTATAATTTTTTATTAGACATATAGAGCGTTCTTTTGGTGGTATTTAAGCACCACTGGGGTTTTTCTTTTTTGCTAAACAAACTAAAAAAAAGTCTGAAAATTTTGGAATAAAAAGTTTTTTCTTAGTTTCTGTTATAAAATGTTGTAAATTTTTTATAATTTTTTTTTGTAATTTTTCTCCTTCACTGGGGCTAATGAGGCTGCAGTGATGGGCGGCACTGATAAGCTGCACTAATGGGCACTGATAGGCGGCACTGATGAGGAGGCACTGATAGGCTGCACTGATGAGCAATGACAGGCATCACTGGTGGGCATTGACAGGCATCACATATGGGCACTGAAAGGAAGCACTCATATATGGCACTGGTAGGTGGCACTGATAGGTGGTACTGACTGGAACGGATAGCCGGCACTGATTGGAACTGTTAGGTGGCACTGATAGGCGGCACTGACTGTCACTGATAGGCGGCAATGACTGGCACTGATAGGCGGCACTGACAGGCGGCACTGATAGGTGACACTAACTGACACTGATAGGCAGCACTGATTGGCACTGATAGATGGCACTGAAAGGCAGTTCTGATGGGCACTGATATGTGGCATTGATGTTCACTGATATGTGGCATTGATGTGAACTGATGGGCACTGATATGTAGCATTGATGGGCACTGACAGGTGGCAATTATGGGCACTGTTAGGTGGCACTGATAGGGCTTCATTGATCATCAGGGCGCTGATGATCAGTGCCCTGATGATCAGTGCAGATGTCCCCTCTGAGGAATGCCACTTACTGGCTCTCCTCTTGCCATGCAGCCAGAGTGGGAGGACGTCATATGATGTCCTCCCAGAACAAGAGAGCCACCACCTTCCCGTCATCTCCTTACATGGTGGAGGCGGTTAAAGAAAAATTCCAGGCATGGATATTTTCACATAGTTTCATTGGTCCAGGTTGGCTCAATGTAATTATGCACTTATTGCACTTGTGGGATCCTTCTAGAAGCCTTCTCTCAATGGTGGCCATGCTGAGCAGCCAACCTCCTGTGTTAACAATGCAGCAAGGCAGCCGCTTGACACTGGACCTGAAAGCTAGTGGAGATCACTGGAATAATGGTGTCTACTACTGTGATTTCCAGCTTCTGGACGGATCCCGCAGGTTGGACCAGTGTAACAATATGCATACCTGGAATTCTTCTTTAACCATTTCCCATCCTCTGTATGTATATATACATCCTTGGACTGGAAGGGTGATATCTTGGTCATCACTGTGGCTGCAGCAATGATCGAGATATCATTTTTTAGGGCAAGCAATTCTGCACACAGTAAAAGTGATCTGAGGAGCTATACAGTAAAGAGAACCTGTCACAGGAAAATGCTATCACATTGAGGGATTGTAAGCCCCCTATAGGATAGCAATAAAGTTTTAAGTGATGTTAAAGGTTAAAGTAAAAAACAAACATGTTATACTTGCATGCTCTGTGCAATGGTTTTGTACAGGGCAGCCCCGATCATCCCAATCCTCCTCTTCTCAGATCCACCAGTGGCGTTCCTGGCTCCACCACTTCTCCGAGTGCCCGCATAGCAAGCTGCTTGCTATGGGGGCACTTGTGTATGCTCTCTCCCAAGCTCCACTCTGTGTGATGATAAGACACCCAGAACAGGGATTGGCTCCACCCCTGCTCCCTCCTCACTGCCAATAAGGAGGCCGAGACCCAGGAGAGCAGACGCTCTTGTGCACATCGCTGAATTGCGATGGGGCTCAGGTAAGTATTGGGGGGAGCTACATACTGAAGGTTTTTTACCTTTGTGCATAGAATGCATGAAGGTAAAAAACAAAAAGCTCCAACCAGGGGCAGACTGACAACTCATGGGGCCCTCGGGCAATAGGGGATCATGGGGCCCCTGTCTCCTTGCCCAAACTCAAAAAAGCCTATGAAAAAGGTACCAGGGGCATCTCATGGGGCCCCCTACTGACTCAGGGCCCTCGGGCAGTGCCCGAGTTTCCAAATGGTCAGTCCGCCCCTGGCTCCAACCCTTAGAACCACTTTAACTGAAAAAAAGTGTAAAGAAACTATGGTTAAACTCAAGCACCCCCACATACGGACACAGGTAAATATAAACGCGCAATTTGCGGGAGCCTAGGCAGAAAAATGTTCATTGCATGACACGTTACATATTGCCATGCACACCGGGGTGGCAGCAATAATTCTTGGCCCATTATTCATGGTTAACTCTGAAATGATGACCTGTAGGGGCTTTTACAAAGCCGTCTATGGAAAATTTTGGGTGCAGGTGAATGCAGTTTTAAAAAATATGTAAAGACAAGATTTCATATTCCTGATGTGGGCCTGCTGTACCATGTACTTGTATGACAAAGTATCCTGTTCTCTTTATTTTGCTTCCTTTGTGTTTAATCCCTTATGTTCCTGCCAGTCCCTCTGCTTTCCTAATAAAACCTGACCACACTAGGATGTGGTCAGTTCTCTAGCTGTGCTGGGAATTCAGCCTGCTCTCCTCCAATGTTCAGACCTGTGCTGAAACAACCCCCCTGCGCAGCCATTCACTGGGAGGCTCAGTGTCCTGCTGTTTCTCCTCCCCCAGCTGTCATTCAGCTGAGAACAGAAAGAATGTGATCACTTCTAAAAAAAAAGGGGAGAAAAATGTATTTATAATTTTTTTTATATCAATACACATTTTTTTTGCCCTTCATTGCTATTTTAAACACTGTGGGTTGTTTTAAACAACAGGGTTTACAGTCACTTTCAGGCTTGACATGTTTGGCATCTGCTTACTCGGCACAACCTCATCTTTTATATTTTACCAAAATATTCATTAACCCCTTGGTGTCGGTGCCTCCCGGCCCTTTAAGGGTTTGTGAGGCCGGGAGGCGAGACGGGGTTTAGGGTCATATGACCGCATTGACTGGCTTTCACAGCGGTCACATGATTGGAAAGCTCCTGATTGCAAGTAGCGATTGGGACCTTTCCGTGGGGTGCTGGTAAATGTGCCGGGAGTGAACAGGGCGTGTGCTCTTGGCACCTATTTATATTGGGTATGCAAATACGTGGCCCCTAGGCATCAAGGCCCAGCCGCCAAGAGGCCTCATATTTGTGTACCGTCAGCGCCAAGGAGCTAGGGCCAGTTCACACTATGCCCTGATATGATTTGTGCAGGAACGCACTGTGCAATTCATATGCGTGTCTATGGATGGGTTGAAAACGCGTGGCACCATGCTAAAAATAGTGCATGCAGTAGTTGTTTTTAAATGCACGGCATCCAAATCACATGGTAGTTTGTGCCATGTGGTTTGGTGCATGCCAGTGCGGGCAAATGCAATGCTTTAACTTAACTGACCCCCACACCAGATTGTAAGGGCATTGCCATCGGAATGCGGTGTGGGAAGCCGCATGGGAACGAGGTTCTCCCGCACCGCATTCTGGCGTGAACGAGCACTCTATTGCATTTGCATGCCCTTAAATTAATTTTAGTGTATTTTTAGTTTATTTACTGAAAAATCTGATAAACCTTATGTGAACTACCTCAATTTTAGGGCTCATGTACACGGGGAGTTTGGAAAACTCTTCTGACAGCTGGAAAACGTAGGTTAAAAAACATCCGTTTAGCCACGTTTGCATATGGCAATTATGCGCGTTTGCGTTTAGAAGCGTTTTGAAAAGATAACCTCAGGAGACCTTCCCAAATGCCCAGAATGCACTGAAAAATAGTAAATAATTAACTATTTCAGACATCTTGAGAGAAATAGAGAGAGCAGAAGCAGAGAGAGCAGTATGTGTTGAGATGACCTGTCTTTTCTGGTTGTATTCACTATGGATCCCATCATGAGCATAATGCGGCACGTTCAACCATTTTTTTCTTCACGCAAAACCTGGAACTGACTGCGCTGGTGTACCGGGTTCATTTGAATACATGGAAAATGCTTTGCATGCATTTCTGATGATGAAAAAAGGCTCTGGGCAGCATCTGGATATAGAACAGTTAAAAAACGCTTCTAAACGCAAATTCTTATAAATGCGGTTAACCGCGCTTACAAGCGTTTGGCATTTGAAACGCTGATAAAATCGACTCCTGAACGCAAGTTCGGTGTGTTCAAAAAAATGACTGTAAACGCAACTGCCTGTAAACAACTTTAAACGACATATTGTACATGGACACAAGGAGAACATTAGGGAGAGTTCAGGGGCTGCTGAAAAACCACTTGGTTTACGTGAAAGTTATAGCATTTACAAATGGCGGTATATATACTGCAATTTTTTTTTTTTTTACTAGTAATGGTGGCAATCAGCGACTTATAGCGGGACTACGGTGGGCATTCTGGCATTGGGGGGACCTGACTTGATGTCACTGATATCCCCAGTGACACCAATACAGTGTTCGGTGCTAATAAAAAGCACTGACACTGTACTAATGGCACTGGGCAGGAAGGGGTTAGCATGAGGGACAATCAAAAGGTTAACTGTGTGCTGTGTATGTGCTTCACTGTAAGTACACTGCTTTGTATGGCTCCGTTATGCAGAGCCATACAAAGCAGTGTGCAGGAGCTGATCTGAATGAGATCTGTGTTTATACACAGGTCTCTCCCCCCGTCAGTAATACTCGGAGATCTCCGGGTACTGGCGGGGAATCACCGGCCGGGAATAAATATATAAAAATCCCCCTGCGCTCCACAGAACCTAGTGATCAAAAAGTAAGCTGCTATCACCTAATCTTTATACCTCCAGATATGTGTCAACAAATAATATAAATGATGAAGCGCTCAATTTATATCCTTCAAAATTATAATCAATCTACAAACATATATAGTGCAAAATCCCCCACGTAAATTATACACCCCCTAGTGGTAAATAGTGATATTCAACAGAATGACACTTAGACTGTGCAAAGTGACAAATATTAAACAAAATATAATGCAAAATCAAATCCAAAAATTATTATTAGTGATGCCACACTGTGTAAAATAATAAAAGTGTTCAATACGCTGTGGTAATGATTTCACTCCATGCTGCCATTGTGCTCTTCGTGACTCTTGAAGTGACTCCCCTCATAAATAGCCAAAGTGCCCCCTCACCTTCAATATTCGACCCTTGCGGGTCACAAGGCTTTGTATATATAATATATATCTCTGCCAGGATATTGATACTCCACTGCCTCCACCGACTTAAATCAAGATCCTCCTCCAAGCTATGGGTTCCTCTCAAATACCTTCCCTCACAAACAGGGCGCATATGCAAGAGAAGAGCAGACCTCCATAGTGCAACACTATTTTAATGCACACAAGGTAAAATGACAAAA